ATAATACATAATATATAGGTTCAAAGTACTACTATACATGCTAATAGTTACCAATTGAGCAGTGTATATTTAATTCCAGACTTAAAATTGAAACAATTCTTAAAATTCCTTTTCTAAAAGCACAGATTACTATTTTTTTTTTTCCTTTTCTGGTACCAGGAATTTGAACCTAAGGTCTTGTGCTGAGCTGAGCTACATCCCTGGCCCTGTAATTTTTCTTTTTAAAAATGCAGTGCTAGGAATAATCCCAGACCTCCTGTGAATGTTCCACATCCCCAGACTTGGCTGACCTTTATTTATTTATTTATTTATTTGTTTGTTGAGACAGGGTCTCACTATGTAGTTGAGACTGACCTGGAACTCACTGTGTAGCCCAGGATGGTGTCGAACTCACAGTGATCCTCCTGCCTCAGCCTCCCGAGTGCTGGGATTACAGGTGTGCACCACCACACCCGGCTCTGGCTGAACTTTAAATACTTGCTTTTGTGATATTAGTGACCAATCCCAGGCCCACTGCTTTTTGTTGTTGATGTTTTTAATTTTGAGACAGAATCTTACTAAATGGCTAAATGGCCAAGGTTGAGTTCTAACCTGTAATCTTTCTGCCTTAGCCTCCCAGAATGCTGGGACTACAGGAATGTACCACCATGCTGAGGACATTTTAAAAATTGACAGTGTATCTCACTGTCTACTCCTGGAGTGAATCTCCTGTCTACCGTGTGTGGGGCCCCGAGTTCAATCCCCAAAGCTACACTGCATTACAGACTTGCCTTCTCCCCACCAAAAACCCCCAGTAGAATGAACAGCAGCATGTGCTGTGGTCCCTGGCTGCATTAGGATGGAAAGTGCGGGTCTATACAGTCTGCACCTCTGTGAGGTTTTTTTGGTGGTGGTGGGGAACCAGGGATCAAAATCAGGACACTGCACTTGCAAGGCAGGCGGCAGAACCACTGAGCTAAATCCCCGGTCCAAATTTATAGATTTTGCTAGGCACCGGCAGAACCACTGGACCAAATCCCTGGCCCCTTTGTGAGGTTTTATGTGGATAGGTGCTTATCCTAGTATGTTTAAAAATCCTTTCTGGCTAGAAATCATCAGCCATGCTCAGTAGAGAACACTGGGAAAGATGGAAAAGTCTGGCACACAAAGCACCTGTAATCTGATCATACAGACATGCAAACCTACTAGCAATATTCTGGTGTGTTCATTTCCCCTAATGATAGAAAAGCTGTGAGTATATATAAGTATATATAGTATAAAGATGGTTATATTGGTTACAGAATTTGAGATAGTTTATGGAATTAAAGTGTTCAGTGCCAGGGCTGGGGATTTAGCTCAGAGGTTCCGCCACCTGCCTCGCAAATTCAAAGGACCCGAGTTTGATCCCGGTACCAAAAAAATAAAGTGTTCAGTGCTTCCCTTCCCTTTATATAGTTCATCCTGATTTATGTATTTCTGAGATGGGATCTCAGTCTTAACCAAGCTGGCCTCAAACTCCTGGGTGGATTTTCCCCATCAGCCTCCCCCGCAGCTGGAACTACTGGCACGCACCCCTGCACTGGCTTCTGTGGATACATTTTTATTGCCAAAAAAGACCTTTTTAATGCTATTCATGATTCAATGACTTGTATCCCACTTTGGTAACTCTCCCTCTCAGCTTGCAATTCAACCAGCACCCACCTGTTTTCAGACTTATCCAAGACAGGAGAAGCCAGCCAGTCACGCCCTGCACACGCCTGCCCTGGCATGAGGTCACGTTCCGGGCCCATCTGCAAGGGAGAGGGTGTCAGTCACCCGTGAATAATCAGAAGTTCACATGGGGAACCCCTGCACCGTGTGGGTCAGGATCCAACCTTTTCCTGTGGCAGTGTATAAAATGGAGTTACCTGGCCCCAAAAAGAGGGCTCTGCCTCGTGCAGCTGGGTCTCATTGGAAATCAAAGCCAAAGCTGTTCGTTTCCCAAGAGCCGCTCGGCTGGACGCTGGGACTCTATCCCAAGGAGGTGATGTTTTCACCTCTTTTAATTTCCAGTCGTACACAGATTTCTCTCGAGATCAATTCAGATTTCGTGGGGGAGATCCAGTCAGTTTGCAGATGGCTCAATGTGATGGTAGCATGGTTGCCCCTTCCAGGGGACACTGGCACCCGGAAGATGCTCTTGGGCGTCTTGTCGAGGACCCTGCGTACTCTGCAGACACAGCGTAGGAAATAGGACTGGACAAAGGGGCTGAGGGGCGAGGCTGAGACCTGCCGCCAGCCGGGAAAGTGCAGGGCCAGCTCTTCGGAATTACTTTCAAGGACAGCTTCTCAGAGCTGGAATTGCAGGGGTAAGACAGGTAGCACAAACATTTTAAGGAAACGAATGGTTTTATTTAGGGTTTTTTTTTTTTTTTGGATGGGGCGTAGAGGGCAGTCTTGTTCTGTAGTTCTGGTTGGCCTTGAACTCACCATGTAGTTCAGGCTGGCCTGAAATTCACAGTGATCTTCCTGCCTCAGCCTCCCACGTGTTGGGACAACAGGTGTGCACCACCACACCTGGCAGGAGCTTGATGGTATTTCTTATAAATCTTCCCACAAACATTAGTTACAGGGGCCATGGAGTTAGCTCAGTGGTTCTGCCGCTGCCTCTCAAGCGCAAGGACCGGAGTTTGAACCCCAAATGGTACAGCAGTCTGCTTTACCATGCCCTGGCGGGCCCTCATCTCATGAGGGCCCTCACCATGATTAGCTGCCACTGCACATGCCATACATTATTAGCAAGAACTGCACGGGCAGTCTTGTTTTTCCTTCAGTGTGCCCAATACGGTAAGGCTGTGCACGTACTTTCACATTTGTCTCAATGTTTTCCACTCTTGGCAGAATCTAGTTTTTCAGTACTGGGGACTGAACTGAGGGCCTTCACATGGAGCTATATTCCCATGCCTTTTTTTAATTTCTGTAGTTTGAAACAGGATCTTGCTAAATCACTAAGTTGCTGCTCAGCATGGGTTCAAATTTGTGATCCTTCTGCCTCAGTTTCCCATGAACAGGGAACATGTGTTTCTCTGCATTTAAAGCCAAACTTCCTGGTGGAGGGCCGGCAATTTAGCTCAGTGGTTCAGTGGCCTGCCTTGCAAGCGCAAGGACCCTAGTTCAATCCCCGGTACCAAAAAAACAAAAACAAACAAACAAAAAAACCAACAAACTTCCTGGTGGAAAAGTTTTCCCCCATTCCCTCCATGTGGCCAAGCTTCCAGACACTTCCTCTCAAACATCTCAGGAATTTTCTTGCTCTGTTACTTCTATCTCCCCACCAAATGTAAATGGGACATGGCTCTGTGCCCTGGGCTTGCTGTCTGTAATATCTGGTAACTGGTGAATTTGCTGGGCCCAGATAACTTATGCGCTATGCAACCAATGCAAAGTGCTCAGCTCCTTCAAGCCGCCCCTCCTGAGAGAACACCCTGCCCTGCTGCAACCCAAAGGGGTGTTGGTCTCTTTGGGGAGAAGTCCCAGACTGACCTGATGGCATTAAGAATAAACAGTACACTTTGCCTCCCAAAATTTCTGGGTGCATCTTCCATTCCCCTAGACTACATGTCTCTCTACGTTCTGGCTGACAATTTGCCGCTACACCCAGAGTTATGGAACAATAGGCATGAGCCTCCATGCCCAGCGTGATCTAGCTTTTCCTTTATTTTGCAGTTGTGGGGCTAAGTTGCTAAATTGCCGGGGATGGGCTCAAACTTGTGATCCTCCTGCCTCAGCTGCCCAGAATGGTGGAATTACAGGCAAGGAGGTGCTTCTTCTCTGCCCCTTCATCCTCAGGAACACAGGCTGCTTCCAGCTCACAGTAAAGCTGCAGAGAGAAGGCCGCAGCTCCTCCTGATGGACTAACTGGCAGCAGGGGTGGACAGCAGAGCACATGGTCCTTGGAGAGAAAGGGGAAAGCCAGACCCTAACCTAAAGGGGGACTAAGTAGTCAGAAGCATTCCAAGGGTACAGCTAAGTTTTAAAGAAACATCAAATCACTCAGGACCCAGAATACCCAGTTACCTAGTCCACTGCCTGCCCCTCAGGCCAGACAGTAGCCCCCATGAGTGCTGGAGGGGAGTGGCTCTGACATCCCCGGACACATGAGCTCTGATTTGGTACTGTCATCCTACAAGACAGGTCAGCCTGCAGCCTTCACCAACCTGCCCCAAACCACGTACAGTAAGAAAGCTAACTTCAATCCCAAAGGAAATCAACAACAATGAACTTCCCCTCCAGCCTGCCCTACTGCAAGTCACATACACAGGTGGTTTCCATTCTAGCAAAATACTTTTATTATTTTTATAATGATAAAACAAGGAAAGCAAAGACTTCTTTTTGGTGTATACCAGAGTTAAGGGAAGTGGAAGGATAAAGGGATTAATAGGATTTTTATGTATGTTTGATGACCATAAAAAGTTAACAATACTAAATGTTTGCCATAAAACTTATCAACAGCTCCCCAGAAACAGATATATAAAGAATCATAGTTTTAAAATCTATAAAAGTAAAAAATATACAGTTGGAAGCTCTAACGCTTATTCCATCTTCAATATAAAATTGTAAACATTTATTTACACAAAGCACGTGTGTATAATGAAAGTCCAAGCACCCTTTTCTACTGAGCTGTGGCTCGAGGAAGATGGGGATGTGCAGGGAAGCAGCCATCTCCTCCCGACTCCCCAAAGCCAGATTCATAAATAAAGCCATGGGAAGCTCCCTGGAGGACCCCAAGAATCACATTTTATTGCTATGACACTGCGGCAAGTGAGAAGCCCACTGCCTGGGGTAGCCAGCCGGCACTAAGGCAGACAGCAGGGCTGGCAAGAGCCCTAGAGGACAGAGGCAGGAGGAGGCTGGGGCAGACAGGAGAGGAACAAGGAACCAAAGCCAGCCTTTGGCCCTGTTTTTGGCAGAAAATCCTCTGAAGTCACCCTCATCCCTACACTTGGGGACTTGCTCGAGAGCAGCCTTCACGGGCTTTCTGATTCATACTCCCCTTTAATTGCTAACTGAGTATCTAGGGAAGGCAGTGAGGGTGGTTAAAGGGGAAATGGCCCACATGCCACCAGTGGTGGCCAATGGCTATGAGCCGAATCTGAGGGTCCAAGTACCCCGGCAAAAAAGGCACTGCTGGTGCAAACTAATCACCAAAGTTGACTCGGGCTGTTCACGGATTTCCCTTGGCTCAATTCTTGACATGATACTACATGAATGATGCATCTTGAGACTCCAGGGAAAGAGATGGGGTTATGGTTTCTCCACAGACTGCTCCTGTGGACTTCTCTCCCTCCACCATCCTGTGTGTGTGAAGGGTTTCGTCCTGCGCTCCCCATCTTGCTTTCCACAGGGCCAAGGGCTGAATCTTGTTTTCCACAAGCAGCCCACACCGCGTACCCTATTCTGTGGGCTCTCAGATCAGTGAAGCTCACTAACAGACCTTCAGAGAGAATCCACTGGAATCTTTAGAGAGGATGTGTTAGTGTTATAAAGCAATCTTTAAAAGTGCAAGTCATCTGCGGTGGGAGTGGCAGAAGTCGGCAAACAACGCGGAATTCCTGCCCCTGGGCTGGCCTGCAGCCTCTTTCCCCAAACCTTTACAATGTCAAAGTTCCCTAAGGGATCTTACTAACTCTTTTCTCCCTCCAATGTAGTACATCACTGTTTCCCACTTGGGCTGGAGAGGAAGAAAGGGAGGCAGGAAGCAAGGGAATGAAGACGGGGCTGAGGAACGACTGATGTGCACAACGTGTGCTCCTGCCTGTTGGACACAAGCTGTCAGAGGGACTGCAGGGGCATGACACATCACAACACCAGGCCCCCAGATCTCTACCTGCAGCCTGGGGTCCTGGGGTGCTCGAGGCAGAGTGACACCTGAGTACACCACTCTGGTAGGAGGAGCTGCTGGGATGACCCTGTCTGGGTCACCGGATGTGCTACTTACAGCTTCCTGTTCCTTCTGGCATCTGCAGTCACAGCCTACACCGACAGAAATGACTTTCCAGCCACCCTCCTCTCCCAAGAGCCAGCTGACAGAACAGGAGCAAAGGCTCATCAGAAGGAAACCCTAGGTTTCCAATGCCACTTTCAACCATCACCTATACTAATCTGCTTAAAATTAAAAAAAAAACAACAAAAAAAAAACAACAATTCTTTTCTATGCTACAAATTACAAACAATTCTGCTATTTAAAGTTTCAAAAACCTGTCCCCAACATTGAGGCATGTGGAGAAATCCTGGAGTCAGCATGATGGCACAGGTAACTATAGCCTGACACTCTTGGGTTTTTGGTCATGTGGGTAAGAGACCACCTATAGAACCCTGTTCTACCAGGCAGTGATGACAGCACACGGGCTGGGGCCAGCCCAATGGAGCAAACCTGCTGACCTGGGAGCTCCCCAGATCAGGACTGGCTGGGCCTCAGCTACAGCCTGGATTCTGTCTGCCCAGAAGACCGGGCCGTGGGCTTTTGGTCCCAAGTAGTTGCTCTTTCTTGAATCTGAGAACAAAAACAGAGGATGTCTGAATACTAAAACCACCACAAATCCATTACTGAGACCCTAAAAAGTCGTCCAAATCATTTATCCACTCCTCAGAAGTCCTGTTCTTCAGCAGGGAGTCGATCAGGTCAGTGTGTCCAGCCACACTGGACAGCCCGCTGCTGCCTGGCTGCCCACTGTAGGTGAAGGGCAGCTCCTGGCCCACAGTCCGCACAGGATAGGCCTGGGCACAGTGTAGTCCTGCGCGGCTGCCCATCTGTGAGGCAGGACTCTGGCTGAAGGCCCCCAGCTCGGGCCCCGCGGGGCTCAGGCCAGACAAGCTTGGCTGTGGGGCTGTCTGGGGAGGCGCAGGGGTAGGGGCACTGGTCCTCTGTTGTGTGCTCACTGGGGGCAGCATGGACCCTGCTGCAGCAGCTGAGCTCATGGGGGCCATAGGCCTGCTGGGCATTGCCGGGGAGAACTGAGGACTGGACATCTTCAAGTGGGCCTGCTGCATGTGGTAAGTGGAAGCGGCGGTGAAGGGACTCATACTGCTGCTGCCTGAGGTCTGGCTGCTCAGGTTCGGCATTCCCTGATGCTGCCATGAGGCATTCTGGCCTCCAATGGCTGCTGCCACCCTTGGGACAGGTGGCTTGGTTAAACCAGAGGCCAGAGTCCCCTTGTTGTGCTGTTGGGAGAGGCCAGAGCTCCCCAGAGAGGTCTGTCCATAAGCAGCCGGAACTGCAGTGCTCTGGCCCACGCTGGTCTGCCGAGGAATGTGGGCATGTCCGTTGGCGGCTTGTGGTGGGGGCTGGACAACCATCTGGGTCATGCCAGAGGCCATGCCATACAGACTGCTCTGAGGCATGCTCTGGGAGCCAGGGAACTGGGCCACACCTCGGTCCTGCGGGCCTGAGTTTGAGGGGAGCGAGGAAACCGAGGTGTGTCCAGGACCCATTGGCATCAGATTCCCAGGCTGAGGGAACACTCGAGGACAGCTGGAGTTGGAGGGACCCAGGTTGTTCATGCCAGACACAGCAGCCGCGGATCCTAGAAGACAGAAGATCTGTCAGTCAGGCTGGCACTTCTTGACTGCCACAGGAGACACCTCTGAGACCCATGCTGCAGCTCCTCTTCTATGGGCAAGAAGGTGGCATCTTAACCTCAGATGGCACAGGGCCAGAGGCACTGCCAAGAGTACAACGCCAGAGGGCTGCAAGGGCACACAGTCTCCCACAGGGCAGGCAAGGCCAGGTCTACGACAATGGCAGGGTTCAGAAAGACACTGAGGAAGGTATGAAGGCCCGGGAGGGAAAGCCAGTTGATGTATTATCCACTTGTCCTTCAAATGTCCTCCAGAATTTTGCTCTGTCCTGGGGATTTCATGATGATCCTCCCCAGTGTCTGCCTTTGGGAGATATGGCCACCAGTGTGACAGGGTCACACCCTGAGTGAGCAGTGGGCTGCAGGGCCCTGAGGGTTGGTGCCCAGGAAGACTTGGGGAAGGCTTTAGAGAAGGCGACAAGCATTGGGTTTAAAAGTACACAAGCAGGCCGGGTATTTAAGCTCAGTAGTGCTGCTGCCTGCCTCGCAAGTACAAGGTCCTGAGTTCGATCCCGATACCAAAAAATATAAGAATAAATAAAAGTATACAAGCCAAGCAAGTTAGCAGCTTGTAGAACGTCCAAGAAAGACAAAAGAATGTAAACAAGCACACTGCTATGAAAGGGAGGCTGTGGGGCTTGAAGAGGCTGACTGGGAACATTGCCCGGCTGGGGCGAGGCAGGAGGGGAGAGTCCAGGCCAGACTGCAGAGCTGAGGGTGGCCCTACCAGGGAAGCTACCAGAGACTTCACTGCCCCTACTGTTTATGCCCTAAAGCAACAGGTGGCAAGGTACCCACTCTGCAGCAGCACCGTCCTGGGGAGACAGAAGAGGAGGCCCTTGTTCTCGGGAACTTGTCGGCCAGGGCTTCTCAACTAAGGGAGGGACACAGGCAACACCATTAACCAAGATGGGTTTTCTGGGTAGGACACTCAAAATTCAGGGGTCAGCCAGGACTCGGTACTTTTGTCTTTCCTCTTCCGCTCCCCTAGCACTCATGTAAGAATGGGCTGAGAAGCCAGGCATGGTGGTGCACACCTGTAATCCCAGTGCTCAGGAAGCTGAGGCAAGAGGATCACTGCAAGTTTGAGGCCAGCCCAGGCTACAGTGAGCTCAGGGCCAACCTGAACCATAAAGGGAGATCTTGCCTCAAAAAACGGGGGAAAAAAAAAAAAAAAAGGCTGAGAAAATGAGGAGAGCTCTAACAGCCATTACCAATGTGAGAAGGGAGTGTGGTAGGAAAGACAGGGACAGCTGCAGACCGGACCCCATGCTCACACACATGCCCTACTTGGTCTCCCCAGGATGTGTGGCTATGTATGGTCTACTACTCTTGAACCTCAGCAGGGAGGGGTCACTGACTAAGCAGAGGCAGCATGGAAAATGTCCCAAGAACTAGGAAGGCCGAGCAGACCTGATTTGACTGTAAAATCTCCATGCATGGAGCAACAGCCCAAACACAGCACCTGCTATATCTCAGAGGTGACAGCTGAGACCCAATGTGCTTCCTCCTCTTCCTGGTAACTGTCCACTGCCGATACTACTGTGACACCAAGGCGAGTGGACAGGGAGAAAAGAAGCCAAAGACTATATATCCACTAAGTCTCTCCTTTCCAGAAATAACAAAGTTTAAACCAGGCGGGTGGCTGACATATGCCTGTAATCTCAGCACTCAGGAGACTGAGGCAGGAGGATTACACTGAGTTCAAAGCCCACCTGGACTACATGGTGAGTTGAAGGCCAGCCTGAATGAACTACATGAGACCCTGTCAGAAAACAAAACAACTCCAACACTCCCTCAGCAAAAAATAAATAAATAAATAAAATAAAATAAAGATTTTTAAAAATTTTGTACTATTTGTTCGTTTATTTATTTAGAGACAGGGTCTTACTATGTATGTAGTTCAGGCTGTCCTGGAACTCAAGGTGCTCCTCCTGCCTCAGCCTCCCAAGTGCTGGGATTATAGTTGTGTGGCATCATACCTGGCTTATTTAAGAAACAAAGCCTTGGGGCCAGGGATTTAGCTCAGTGGTGCTGCCGCCTGCCTCATAGGCACGAGGACCGGAGGTTCAATCCCTGGTACCAAAAAAAAAAAAGAGAGAGAGACAAAGTCTTGTTGTGTTTCCAAGGCTGGCCCCAAATTCCTAGGCCTCAGCCTCTAGTAGCTGGGATTATAGGTGTGCAGCACTGCAGTGGCTCAGAGGCCTTTGTTTTTTATTTTTTTGGTACTGAGTATAGAGCCTTAATACTGGGCAACATACCCAGCCCTTTTCAAATTTTGAGACAGGGTCTCACTAAATTACCCAGGCTGGGCTCAAACTTGCATCCTCCTGCCTCACCCTCTCAGAGTGCTGGAATTAGAGGTGTGTGCCAACACACCCAGTTGAAAGGGTTTCTTTTTGAAGAGTCACAAAAGCATGAACCAAAAAATTTTAAGAATTATAGAAGCTATTTCCTGTTAATCAGAGATCCTTCAATCAGGAACTTTTATAAATTACTCTGCTTCAAATGACTAGATAGCCAGAGATACAGCCAAAGCACTGGTAGCAACCTGCAGGGCAACCACAGAGCAAAATTCCTCCAACAGATCGAGGCCTTTCACAGCGTGTAAACCCATTCTGTACTCAGCACAGGCTGGTGGGGAACGGAACTCCAGCAACACTGGGAGCTATTGATCCACATCCGCCCCGCATGCTCCCCTTACCTGTGAACTGTCCGACTTGTGGGAAGGTGCTCTGTGTTGGGTCTTGGTACTGGGGGGGTGGGCGGGTCAGATGGCGCTGATATTGTTGCTTCTCCTAGAGGATGCCAAGAACAACAGAACAGTCAATCACACTAGACATAAACAAAAGCAGACCAGCAGTGACAGGGTAGAGAAAAGCAGTGTCCAAGCTTGCTACTCAGAGAACTCTCATGGGAATAATGCTGGTGATTATTTTGGGAGGTTTTAATAAATAGTATGAGCTGGGGGTGTAGCTCAGCAGCACAACTGCCTGGCAAGCACAAGGTCTTGAGTTCAATCCCCAGTACCAAAAAAAAAAAAAGAGCATGAAACAAGAATAGTACAAATCTCAGGAGCATTGAGGCAGGAAGACAGCAAGTTATAGCCTGGCCTGGGCAAAGTAGCAACCTAGTGAGCAACTCTGCCTCAGATAGATCAGACAGACAAGACAGACAGACAGGTGGGGATGTAACTTTGTGAAGGCCCTGAGTTCCAATTACTGCAAACAAAAAAAAGGAGGGCAAACCAGGGAAAAACAAATCAAAGCCACAATGAAACACTACTTCCCACTCACTAGAACAGTTGGAATAAAAAGGCAAGGATGTAGCTGATAGGAGAGCACTTGGCTAGCATGTGCAAAGCTCTGGGTTTGATCCTCAGTACTGCAAAGGCAGAAAATTTAAAAATACCAAGAACTGGAGAGGATATCGAGGGAAACCAATACTTTCATGCTCCACTGGTAGGAATGTAAAATGGTATAGCTGCTGTGGAAACATTCTGAAAGTGTCTCAAGGTCGGATATAAAACTTACCATATGACTCAGCAAGTCCACTCCTAGGTATATCACTCAAGAAAAATGAAAACCCAAACTTTTCCAAGGATTTTCATAGATCTGATTTTTGGCAAATGTTTGTATTTTACATTTTTTTTTCAAGAGTGGGAAAATTTATTGGGATAAAAGGAATGAGGAATAGGAATAACTTCTCGGAGACAGGAGAGGTCCCAAATGGGTTGCCCTATCTTTAACATTCTTATAGGACAATTGTCATTTCCTTTAAAAATGATCACTTACAGAACCAAAATATAAAAACTTCTAAAAATCTAAAAGAGACAGAAAAAGGACAACACTTCCCCACATAAAAGCTTGTACATGCATATTCACCCCAGCTTAATTTGTAACAATCAAGAAGCAGAGACAACTCCATTGTTCATACGCAGAAGGGGCTACTTACACAGAGAACACAAGGCAGCTCTGAAGGAGGTGCTGGTACACAGTACGTGGTGGCCTTAAACACTTGTACGAAAGCCCTGGGACAGGTAAACGGACAGAAATGGCAAGTCTAGGGCTGAGGAGGTGGGAGACAGGGAATGACTGACTCCTCATGGATACAGAGTGCTGGGTGATAAAAATGTTCTCAAATGGCTGTGGTGACGGCTGCACAATTCTGCAAGTATGTGAAAAATCTTTAAATGGGCATAATGTTATATTAAGTATATTCTAATAAAGGAGTTATTTAAAAAAAATAGATTCAGGTGCCGGGGATGTGGCTCAGTGGCACCTTGCCTGCTTCTGAAGTGCAAGGTCCTAAGTTCAAGGTACCAGAACAACAACAAAAAAACAAAACAAAACAAAAAAGGATTCAGGCACAGGGGCACACACTTGTAATCTCAGCTACTCAGGGTAAGGCAGGAGGATCACAAGTTCGAGGCTAGCCTGGGCAACTTAGACCATGTCAAAGTAAAATTCAGAGAAAGAGTCAGGAGCTAGGGATTTAGCTCAGTGGTCCCACCGCCTGCCTCACAAGTGCAAGGTGCCGAGTTTGATACCCAGTACCAAAAAAAAAAGAAAGACTCAGAGATGTCACTCAAGGCAAGGTCCTGGTTTTTGGCAGTACTGGGGGCTGAATCCAGGGCCTTCTCACTGAGCCACATCTCCAGTACCAGAGGGAAAAGGGGCCAAAGCACCCCCACTCTGAGCATGCTGACACAGCAATGCAAATCTGTACAAGGCCACAGGCACAGCTGCACAGCCTCCTTCCATCCTTCCCCTCACCTGTTCTGCCAGAAGATGCTGCTGCTGCCTTTGCAGGAACTGCTGCTGCTGCTGCTGCTGCTGCTGCTGCAAATGCTTCTGCTGCTGCTCTCTCTGTTTCTGCTGGTCTAAAAGCAACTGGTGCTGCTTCATGACAGCTGCCTGCTGCTGACTGCTGAGATACGGGGCGCTGTTGTGTGTGGTGGCCACAGACACAGCAGGTGGCTGAGTCCCAACACTGGTGGCCTGGGCAGGCACAGGGACACTGGAAGGATTCTGCTCCTGTCAACACAGATGAAAGGAACTAGAGTCATGTGGGGTGGGTGAAGCTCGCAGACAGCATGCTCAAGGGCCACTCTGAGCTGGGTTTCTGCTTCCCTGCCAATCTCCAACAGGTAGGGTGGAGACCAGACCCCATGCCGCCTGAGCATTCCAGTGCCCAGCAACAAACAAACACACTCGACGTGCAGTAGCTTTGCTCCTTTAAGATTCACCTGTGGCTACCACATTATTTCAACATCACTGCTGATACTCAAAAGAAGAAAGGAAAACTTAAAACAGGAAAAGAGCCAATAATTATTATTTAAACAAGTTCAACTTTTGAGCTCTTCAGTTCTTACTAGTTTGCATATGTAATCCTCATGAAGAGTCTGATGGTGTCATTTCTTTCTTTGTTTTTTGAGACGGAATCTCACTGTACAATTCAGGCTGACTTTGCTTTTTTTTTTTTTTTTTTTTTTTTTTTTGGTACCAGGGATCAAACTCGGGTCCTTGCGCTTGTGAAACAAGACACTGAACTGCTGAGCTAAATCCCCAGCCTGACTTTGCTTTATTTGGGGGAGTACCAGGGATCGAACTCTGGTCCCTGTGCTTGCCAGGCAGGTGGTGAAACCACTGAGCTAAATCCCTGGCCCCAGGCTGAATTTGAACTCATGGCAATCCTCCTGCCTCAGCCTCCTGAGCGCTAGGACTACAAGAATGTGCTACCACGCCCAGGCTGTTTTGATATTTGAGATGGGGGTCTCACTATGATACCCAGGCTGACCTTGAACCCAAGATCTTCCTGCTTCAGCCTCCTATATAGGTGTGACTGCAGGCTTGTACCAATGCACCCCATACAAAGGACTGTGAACACAGATGTGAAAAGTGGCAAAAAAGCAAAGCTTCTACAAAATACATTAAATGTGCTCATTTAATAAAGCACAGGCACAAATGACAATGTAATTTGTGCGGCATAAAAGAGATACTAGATTAAATGCAGGTGATTCCTCTAAAATTTATGTAGTTAAAATCAACTTGTGGTTGGGGATTTAGCTCAGTGCCACCACACCTGCCTCATATGCAGAAGGTCCTGAATTCGATCCCCAGTACCAGAAAAAAAAAAAAAAATGAACTTGTACAAGGCAATCATACCCTACTTTTATTAAAAATTAACTTGGGGTTTATTTTATGTATTTTCACTCCCAAATAGGACGATGGGAGGTGCTTCCTCCTCCCTCTAATTCCACAATTGTGTTGGCCCAGCTTACTCCCCAGTTTAGCAAGTAACCTTACCAGTGTCTGCAGCAGAATGATGCAAAATGGACTGTATGCTTACCTGGCCAGGTGGAACCAGTGACCGGAAGGGCATACTTCCTGGCTTTGGTTTCATTAGGAACAAGGGGTTTTGCTCGTTATTCAGATGAGGCAGCTGCTGGGGAAGATAGGCCATCAGGGCTGGTTTGCTCTGGCCAGACGCAGGGCCACCTTGCCCACAGTCCGCTTTGTAGTGGGAGAGGGGTTTTGTGTTGCCATAGTCCAGCACTGACCCCTGGTTATTCACAGAGTTCTGACTCAAGTTACCCTGCGGCTGGTGACTCAGCAGTGTCACATGGCCCGGCTGGAGGAAGGGGCCTCCAGGCCGAGGAGAGCTCTTGTTCACAGCAGGTATCATAAGCAGCTGGGAGCTGGGGAAGTCCTGCTTGTAGCCAGCAGGGCTAGCAGGCTTCTCTATGGGATAAGGGACATCTAAGGGGCTGTGGGAAGGCCCCGTCTGCTGCCACGTGGACATCTGGCCCGGGGCAGCAGCTGGAGTGGCCTGTGGTGGGTTCTGGAGCATCTGCTCACGCTTCTGCTTGGCGGCGATCTGCTGGAGCTGGTGGGCAGAGGACAGCTCAGGGGTCCCTCCTGGGCCCTGGCCAGGCAAGACGACACCTGTGAGGGCTCTTGGTGCACTCTGGGCCTGGGCTGACGCCGGCATCAGGTTGGGACTGGGGTTGTCCGTCCCGGGCTGACCAGAGGTGTGGAACAGGGTCTGAGAGCTCCCAAGGCTGGGGGAGTCTGTGCTCACAGATGTGGACGAAGGCCCCAGGAAGCTCTGTCCTGCAGACCCGGCCCCCACTTGTGGAGAGCCTAGCTGTTCCTGCTCAAAGGCTGCTGGAGAGAATTCTGTCTTAATATTAATGTCTTGGGACAAGGGGTTTTGTGTGGCAGAACCAGAAGGCTCTGGGTCCTTTTTCTCCTCAAAGTCCTCTGTAAACAGGTCCTTCATGTCTTCATCGGGCACCGACCTGTTCAGCTCCTCGATGAGCTCCTTCCACTCCTGCTCGTTGAGGTTGAGGTCAGGCATGAGGTTACTCTGTGAGATGGAGCCTCCAGCCCCAGCAATCATGCACGGCAGGTCATCCACAGGCTCCTGCTTCAGTTCCTTACTCAGGCCCAGAGGAAAGGACTCACCAGCACTGCTGCCTCCATTCAAGTGGAGGCTTGGGTCAGCCAGACACTTTTTGTTGATGGACTCGAGCCCCAGGGAGTGCTTCCCACCAGACTGCATGGCCTCTCCCCCGGAAGGCTTGTCAGGCTGACTGAGGGGTGAGACTGGAGGCAGCCCATTGGCAGACAGGGCCACACCCAGCGGGGCCTCCCGGCGGGTCTTCTTATGCCCAGAAAAGAGGTCTCCATAGCCATTCTGTTGCTCGCCATTCTGAGGGGAGGTGGTGCTGTCAAGAGTCCTTTTCACTGTGTCATGAAGATGCTGAAAAACATTTGAAAAGAGATTGGGGTACATCACATCACATCTGAGGTTCCCTCTGCAACCAACAGTCACTTAAAACAGGGTCTTGCATCCTTACATACTCTCAGGAGTTTTGAGAGTACACCTTCACTTCCCCTTATAGGACTGCCCCATGCCCAGGTCTGAGTCTGGTTGGTCAAAATCAAATGTCAAGCTCTGCAGGTGTGTGTGTGTATCAAGACCCTGAACTCCTGCAGCCCTCTTTTTTGCACGATACAAGCCTGATGCTACCTCCCAAATAGTTGGGAGAGTTTGTTCAGGAATGGAGCTAAGGAAAGAGCCAGAGGCAACGCTGAAGCTCTTGGGGACATCCCTGGAATTCTGGGCCATAGGTGAGATCAGCTATCACCTTGCGTTTCCACTTATATGAATCAGTAAATAACTGTGCTGAAGCCGGGGATTTAGCTCAGTGGTTCCGTGGCCTGCCTTGCAAGAGCAAGGACCCGAGTTCAATCCCCGGTACCAAAAAAGAAAAGAAAAAAAAAAAGAAACTGTGCTGAAGCTGGCTTAATATGGATTCGGTTCCTTTCAACTGAAGCTTTGCCTAGTGCAGCCTCTAGGGACTGGATTGGTTCTTTACTTGTCATACAGCCTTCTGCCTTTCAGCTTCTATCCCAGTCTTCTCCCCTAAACGCCTAAGCATCTTCTAATCTCGTGTCTGAAAGCTACCCTCACAAACCTCCATAGCCCTTCACTGGGACACAATCACATCTGCCTCTGCTTCACCATTTTTAACTAACCTCATTAGGAGTTTACGTGTGCCAGGGACAAGATCGTGGAGAATATAAGGACACATAAGGTGGACCCTGCACTTCATGGGCCTCTACCTTCTGGAAGACTGGACAAATCTGAATATGGCCGCAGAATAAGGGAAATGTCCTATGCAAGCAGTACAGCAACGAGCACCTTGAGCGTTCAGGAGCAGGAGCCTTAGGATAAGAGCACCACCGCAGGGCAGGAAAGAGACAAGGCGGTGTCCTCCTGCTTCCCCATCCTCATCGGTCAACTGTGAGAGCAGATGCTGCACACTCAGCCTCTAACCCTGCCCTGCTCCTCTCCTATGTGTGCTTTTATTACATTTGTTCTCATCCTCCACCCACACCACCCCCAACCCCAAGCACCTATGGTCATTAAACTGTTCCCTACCACAACCCTGATTATTATCTCTGAGCAGACCCAGGAGGCAGTGGTGAGCAGCTTACTGGGCTACTTCCTCTGCTGCAGAGAGGTGCTCTGATTCGGGTGTCCTGTCCGAGGCCACTCTGTCAGCAGCAGCGCTTGGCAGGTGACAACCTGTTAGACACCAATTTTCTCAACATCTAAGCCCCAACTTTTATTTATTTTTTTTATTTTTTAGGCAAGGTCTCTCCTTGGAGTTCAGGCTGGCCTCAAACTCCGTGTGACCGGTGTGTGCCACCACACCTGGCTCTAAGCCCTGATTCTAATGCTACACTATTTTCCCCATGACATCAAGATTTTGCATATTTTTGTTTTGTGATGGAGACTGAACCCAGAGCCTGTGCGTGCTAGGTAAGCATCTCACCACAGAGCTACATCTGTAGACCATATTTTTTGTGTGTGACCGCATCCTGCTGAGCTGCCTGGGCTGGCCTCGAACTTTCCATCCTCTTGCTTCTCAGCTCCCGGGTGCTGGAATTACAGGTGAGCACCACCAGGCCTGTGTTTAAGACTTTTCTTAATTGTTAAAGTTGACTGTACAATGCTCTATAAATCCCGGCTGAGAATTTAAATCCATATGTGGGTAATTAAAGTGATGTGGAAAAAAACTTCGGAATTCTACTGGACAAACAGAACTGGTAGGGCAGAGGCAACAACACAACCTAAGAACAGGGACTCTGTATAGGACAACCCCTTTTGTTTTCAGATAAGTATTCCTGCTTGCTACTGCCACCTAGGGGTGGGCAAGGAGATGAGAACTACACTTGTAAAATGGACCCTTTATAAAACCTATCGTTTGGGAAGTTAAATTCATCCCCATTTAACAAGTCAGAGGAAATAAAAATGAGTTCCTAATATTTCTTTTATATTTGTATTTTCTATTTTTCTTTTGTTCCACAGAACCAGAACCAGGATCCAGATGTTCTGGAAACCCAGGAGCTCAGTTTCTCTCTTTCTAAGGGGATGATGGAAACCTAAGGGTCAGGGCCCTTGGTGAGTCAGCTGGCCATCCCAGATTAGAAACAGACTCCCTCTCTGCCCCAACAATTATAAAAGCCACCACACCCTCTTTCAATAGCCACACGCAAACAGCTGCAGACAAGTTCCAAAGAAGACGCAATTTTGCAATAGCACTGCTTTTTAGCCAATGGAAAAATTGGGCCGTTTTCTCAACTACTCACAAAATTCAATGGGAATGGTATAGGTGGGGTGGGAAGTGTGGAATGTGGTAGCGCTTCTCTGGGAACCTTGGGCTCTGTAGGGGAGGCAGAGGTGAGTGAGCCTCAGAGGCCAATCCCCAGCATTTACAACGGGGTGGGAAAGCAGCCTGAACAGGTTAAAAGTTACATAAGAGCAAAGAGCAGGTGTTAGGGTTGGACAAGACCAGCTGTTGCCACCTATAAACACGTGGGCCCAGAGATTCCTGTTCTAACTACTGAACTGCCTCAGTCAGGGTCCAGGGGGACCCAGTTCTGGGAAATGACGCCATTGATGCTCATGGTTTGCTGAAGAAGAGTGTATATTCAGGGTTGGAAAGCCACAGAGTGCCCTGCTCCCTTGCCTGGGCTGGCTCACAAGAAAGCCCTGGTCTTCTGTGGCAGGGCCAGGCTCCCCAGCAGAGAGGGGCTGTAGGGCACTGATGCGGTTTGGAATGGAGCTGGATTGACGTCCTACAGGCTGCCCACCTTGCAGACAGTAAGTCAGCATCCTGCCTCTGCCCCTGCCCCCACTAAGCTCAGGGAGGGTCCCTTGCTGAGTCTCAACTTCCTCCTCCTCTAACCACCCACCACTGCACTCCCAGTGTGCTTTGTTTTGTGGTCAATCTCACGGAAAAAATGACAATGCCTCAGGCTTCCACTGAGTAACAGATGTGGCTGATGAAGTCAGCAGTGGTTCTCTTATCAGCGCCCCTTACATGAGGGCCACCTGGGGCGCAGGGCTTCCTGCCCCTCCTGGGGAGGAGATTCGTTTTTCCTGCCCCTCCCTCTTCTTTCACCCTGCTATCAGCCAAATGCCACCCAGCAGTACCTCAGTCCTCTGCACTGTTCCCCCACGCCCTGGGAGCAGACTGGATGTGGGGAAACGGCAGAGTAGCAGGAGTCTCCAGACCAGCAACGTCTACAGGCTGTTAAACGCAGGCCACACTTCAGGTCCCTCCCCCCACCTTCTCTCCTCTCTCTACCTTCCATGCCCTCCACCACACGATACGCTTACCTGCCTCTTCACATTCCCTTCCCACACTGACTTTTCTTTCCTTCCTACCTCTCTGGTTCCTTCCCTGTTTTCCTTTCTCCTGCCCTCCAATGAAGGATCCTTCTGCACACTCTCCCTCAATGACCTCAGGGTGGTAGGCCTGAGCACCCCACTGTCCAGGGACCAATGCTGGCTTCACCCCTGCCCTCCAATCTCCAGTCACACCCACAGGGCCTCCCTGCTCCTCCCCAATGTGCCAGTTCCTTCTGGCCTTGCTCTTGTTTTGCCTAGAACCCTTCCTCCCTGGGATCCTTCCGGGTGACTCACCTGTAACTCAGGTCCGCCATCACCTCAGTCATTCCCTGCACACCTGCTCCTCCCCAGTCACACTCATTTCCTCCTTGCTGACTTCCCCGAAAGAAAGAGAAGGCCAGCACTTCAGTGTGCAGGCTCCAAGCCCCTCCTCCTGCTCCTGCACCCACCCACCCACCCGCACGCCCGGCCTCTACCCAGGAGGGCACACAGACATCCAGGCCTCAAACCAGGCCTTCTGCCCTGTTCTGTGACTTGCTCCTACCTCAGAGCACGTTACCAGTACGGGGGCCACATGCAGACACCTGGGCCTCCCTCGCCTGCTTCCCTGCCCGCCTCAGCCAGCGCCTGTCCTGCTGAGTCCAGCTCCCTGGCTTTCGTCTCTACTCTCCTCACCCTCTTTGCCTACCCCGTTTTTGTCAGTGCTGAAGTGGAATACAGGGCCTCAGGTGTGAGGCACTGTGCTGTGCCCAGCCTCCTCAGCCCTCCTTGAGTCCACCCTCGTCAGATACTAAATCCAGGCTAACCCTGACCACCAGCTGGAGTGGTAGAGTGGCACTTGCTCTAGGGTAAATCTGATCACATCTCTCCTGTTCTTTTCTTGCTTGCTTTTTGTAGACAGGGTCTCGCTGTGTAGTTTAAGCTTATCTCGAACTCACTGTGTAGTCCAGGGTGGCCTCAAACTCACATTGATCCTCCTACCTCAGCCTCCCAAGTGCTGGGATTGCAGGTGTGTACCAGCACACCCAGCTGTCTCTCCTCTAAAGCCCCCAGCTGCCCTAGACCTGCCACAGCCTCTGACTTCCTCAGCATCATCTCCACCAGCTGTATGCAGCAGGGTGTAGATCACCGGGACTCTCCAAAGTACCCGTTCACACACACAGAATCAGAATTTCTTAGAGTGACAACTTAAATGCTGAGAATTTTGGCCTAACACTGGATGTGCTTTTCCTTTCCTCCTGAGCCCTGCCGTGGCTTGCTGTTTCCACAGGGACAAGTCAACACTGACCAGTGTGCCTGGCTGGCTATTATCCCAGCCAATGAGCAGGATTTGTTCCCAGCTAATTATTATTATGACACCTTTTTATTCCCAGTTGACTCAGGACCCCACTTAACCTTCAAAACAACTGTGGAAGATGAGGACCACTGTTCCTGTTTTACAACTGATCTGAAACAGAAAATTACATAAAGCTGGGCATGATGGCACATGCCTGTAGTGTCAGTCCTCAGGAAGCTGAGACAGGAGAACTGCCACAAGTTTAAGGGCAGCCAGCCTGAACTATATGGATGCTGTGTCAAAAAAAAAAGAAAAGAAAGAATAAATGAAAAGAGAAAACAAAAGAAATCAACTGTCCTGGGAAGGAGTCTTTTGGTGGGGGGTGAGATAGGGTCTCACTATGTAGCTGAGACTGACCTGGAACTCACTATGTAGCCCAGGCTGGTCTTCAACTCACAGTGATTCTCCTGCCTCAGCCTTCCGAGTGCTGGGATTGCAGGCGTGCACCACCACATCCGGCTTTGGGAGTCTTTTGAAGGTGTGGGGTCTGATTTGGATGGCCCAGCTACTCATTTGTCAGAAGGATAACTGACCCAAGGAACCCCACGTGCCCTCCCAAAAGGAAGAGTGAGACACCAATGGCCAAGCAGAGCCACACACAGCGAGTAGAGCTCCATCAGGTGTCGCAACTGGAAAACAGATTGTGCCATGATGA